GCCCCCGGGGGCCCCCCTGGGGGCCCCCCTGGTGAGGGGCCCCCGGCTGGGGGGCCCCCAGGGGGCCCCCAGGGGCCATTTCGAGGGTAGGGGGAGAGGGGCGGACAGTTACCATGGAGGTTGTGCTGAAGATTGAAAAAGAAGCTGGGGGGGAGCCCCTGCTGCTGCTGCTGCTGCTGTTGCTGCTGCTGCTGCTGCTGCTGCTGCCAGGCCATCTACGCGGGCCCATGTAGAAACGGCGACCCTGGACATCCCTTGGCGATCCCGCTGCTGCTGCTGCTGCCGCTGCTGCTGCTCCTGCTGCTGCTGCTGCTGCTGGGGTCTGGGGGCCCCTGAGGGGCCCCAGGGGGGCCCCCGAAAGCAGAAAGGCAGCAGTTGCTCGCCGCAGCATTTGGGCGAGAAAGAGGACTGAAGTGGTTCGGTGTTAAGGGCTGCGAAGTAAAATTATCGAGGGTTTAGGGTTTAGGGTTTAGGGGTTAGGGTTGTGGGTGTAGAGCTAGGGTTTTGGGTTTGTGGAGCAACACAGGACTCCGGCAGTATCCTTTATCTCGAAACAAACAAAAGTGAAAAGCATTTTAGAGATAACTTAGAAGTTTGGGCTGAGGGTTTAGGGTTTAGGGTTTAGGGTTTAGGGTCTAGAGTTTAGGGCCCGGGGGCCCCGGCGAGCATTCGGCTGCATGCTTTGGTGTGTCTGCGCACCCAATACAGCCAGAAGTAAATTAAGTCAAATTAATTGAAGAATAAATTAGTAATTAACGCTAAACCCTAAACCCTAAACCCTAAACCCTCGACGAGCCCCTAGCCAGCTCGCGTGCTGCAGCTACCGCTCCCAGCCACAGACGAAACCCTCGAGTTTACCTCCCCGGCCTTAGGGTTTAGGGTTTATGCTTTAGGGTTTACGGTTTAGGGTTTAGGGTTTAGGGTTTAGGGTTTAGGGTTTAGGGTTTAGGATGGCGAAGAGCAAGAAGGGTCCCACGAAGGCGGAAATAGAGGCTACGCTGCATGCAGCCAATTTGGAGTTAATGGAGCTTTTTAAAAAGAAAGAAAAGGATTTGATTTTTGCAAAAGAAAAGAAATTCGAAGCCCTGCACCAGCAGCGGCTCCTCGAGGACGAGGCCAGCCAAACCCTAAACCCTAAACCCTAAACCCTAGAACAGCGAAACGGCGAAGCCGGCCGCAACCCGCTTGCTTTGAAGCCTAATTCCCTTGAAATACAAAACCCTAGGAAACGCTAGACCCCTTCAATCCCTAAACCCTAAACCCTTGAAACCCTAAACACTTGTAAACCCCAAACCCTTGTAAACCCTTAACCTGTTCCTTCTTAAGGGGTTTAACTCCCTTGCTCCCCGTAAACCCTAAACCCTCAGCAGCAAAAATTTCTCTCGGGCACTTCGAAATGAAGCAAAATAAACTGTCTAGGTTTTGCCCAAGAGGGCTTAGGGTTTAGGGTTTGGCACTCAAACCTAGCAGCCTAGGCCATCAAACTGAGGGTTTAGGGTTTGGGGCTTGACGCGCAATGTTTAGCGCCTAGGGTTAAAAGTGCAAAGTTTAGGGTTTAGGGTTTAGGGTTTAGGGTTTACAGGGTCGGGATTCATGCGAAGACTTCAAGACCTACGACCTCAAATGCAGCGTTTAGGGTTTAGGGTTTAGGGTTTAGGGTCTAGGGTTTGCGAGTAGAAATTAATGCGCTCAGCAAAGTCCCACATATGGTGAAAGGCGTAGCTTTCAGCGTTTAGGGTTTAGGGTTTAGGGTTTAGGGTTTAGGGTTTGTGTGCAGCTGAAAACCCTGAAAAGGCATTTAAAGGAAAAAGAAAGATGGGGGTCTAAAGCAGCAGAGGCGCTGCAGAAGCAGCTGCGAGAGCAGCAGCAGCAAGAAGCAGCAGACAGCAAGTTGCTGCAGCAGCAGCTGCAGCAGAAGCAGCAGCAGCAGCAGCTGCTGCTGCTGCAGCAGAAGCACATCGCCAAACAGTTCGACAATGAAATTGGAGACACGCAGCGGGCCATGAAGGGTGCGGCTTAGGGTTTAGGGTTTAGGGTTTAGGGTTTGCAGCCCGTTTCAGTTTCTTTTTCTCTCAATTTAAACTCTTTTTTCTTTTTCTCCTTTTCTCCTCTCTTTCTTGCTTCAAATTGATTAATTAATTTCTTTCAATTTCTTTTTATTTTTATTTATTTTATTTATTTTACTTTATTTATTTTACTTCATTTATTTTACTTCATTTATATAATTTTTTTATTTTATTTATTTTATTAATTTTCTTTGCTGCCCGCAGAGCTGCAGCAAAAGTGCAATTCGCTGGAGGCCGAGTTTCTGTCGCTGCTGCAGTCCGTGCTGCAGCTGCTGCAGCAGCAGCTGCAGCAGCCAGCAGCAGTGGAGAAAGAACTTGCTGCAGCTTTTGAAAAACAAATGCAGCAAATTAAAAATGAAGTTATTTTTAAAATTCAAAACTTAGAAACAAAATCCGAAAATAAAGAAACCCTCGGAGATGCCTGGAGACAAATCGGCATGCAGCCGCCACACGCAGTCACCAAACTCGGCGTCTAAACCCTAAACGCTAGACCCTTAACCCTAAACCCTAAACCCTAAACCCTAAACCCTAAACCCTAAACCCTAAACCCTAGCGCCTGAGGGAAGACAAAGGCACTGGGCGTGGTCTCAGCTGCTCGCTGAGGGTTTTAACAGCAAAACCATCTTGACAATAAACCCTCTTTGAAAGGCAAAAATAAAAAATAGGGTGGGTGAGAAATACAGAAGCGAAAGGCGCAGCAGCAGCAGCAGCAGCAGCAGCAGCAATCAGCAGCGGGGGAGCTGCCGCTGCAGCAGCAGCAGCAACAACAGCAGCCCAGTTACCGCTGAATGAAAAGCAGCAGCAGCGCAGTTACCGCTGCAGAAACAGCATCAGCAGCAGCAGCTTAGATGCCGCTGCAGCAACAGCAGCAACAGCTCAGTTGCCGCAGCAGCAGCAGCAGCAGCCCAGCTGTTGCTGCAGCAGCAGCAACTTAGCGGCTTTTGCTGGTCCTTAAGACTTCCCAGCAGCAGCCGTATGCAGCTGCAGCAGACTCAACTACTCCTCCCAGCTCCCTTTAAGGTTTAGGGTTTAGGGTTTAGGGTTTAGGGTTTAGCATGTGTCCACCAGCTGAACTTTTGAAAGAACAGCTAGCAGCTGACAAGCTGCATTTTGCCATTTACATGGAGCTCAGCGTTTAGCGTTTAGCGCTTAAAGCCCAGGGTTTAGGGTTTAGGGTTTAGGGTTTGGCGTTTAGAGTTCAGAGCCGAGCGGTTAGGGTTTAGCGTATGCCTTCTGCTCCGGAATCTGTGCTGCTCTGCACGAAAAAAAAGTTTGGACTTTGGCTGCGGGGGGTTAGAGTTAAGGGTTTAGGGTTTATGGTTTAGGGTTTAGGGGTTAGGGTTTAGGGTTTAGGGTTTAGAACCGCCGAGAGAACTGGGCACTGCTCAGGCTAGAAAGCTAACATTGAAAAGCAGCCTTCGTGATTTATGGCTTAGCCTTTAGGGTCTACGGTTTAGGGTTTAATGTCTAGGGTTTAGGGTTTAGGGTTTAGGGTTGGGCAGCAGTCTCGCAGTTTGCAAGTGAACAACACCGGGGGGAGACATCCGGCTCAGAGCGAGGGTTTAGGGTTTAAAACGTAGGGTTTAGGGTTTAGGGTTTATATCGGTTGTTTGAAAGCAAAAATAAAAAGTTTCTGTCAACATTTGGTGTTTGAGGGTTTAGGGTTTAGGGTTTAGGGTTTAGGGTTTAGCATGTGTCCACCAGCTGAACTTTTGAAAGAACAGCTAGCAGCTGACAAGCTGCATTTTGCCATTTACATGGAGCTCAGCGTTTAGCGTTTAGCGCTTAAAGCCCAGGGTTTAGGGTTTAGGGTTTAGGGT